GGAGGTGAAGCCTGAATGGTAGCAATATGGCGCTCTAGACGACCAATCCGCTTTTGAATAAAACCGAAGGCCTCCTTGCTCCAAGAGCGCAGAGAGCCAGCCACATGCTTGAGATTGGCCCAAGTTGACCGGAGAGAAGGGCAACCATCCCTCCCCTCATCCCATGCTCGCTCAAGAGTTTCTTTGTAGTCATCAGTTCGAAGCACATTTCTTCAAAGCGGAAACCCTACTGGACCAGAGCCGGACGAGGCTGTTGGGTCCTGCCACCAAGCTGGACCAGCACAGGGTAATGATCCGAAGAAGTTGCAATAAGATTCTCCAGCCCACATCCATCAAACAGCTTGAAAATCTCCATTGGCCATAGCTCTGTCCAGGCGACACTTTACATGACAATCAGGGTCTTGTTTATTGCTCCACGTAAACTTCGGCCCAGAGAAGCCCAGATCGGTCAAGCAACAGTACTACAAGCAATCTCGGAAAGCTGTGATTTGAGATTCAGATCGATCTCGGGGGCCACAATGTTCGTCCTAAGCCAAGACCTCATTGAAGTCTCCACAACAAAGCCACGGTCCATTCCACAACGGATGTAAACGTTTGAGGAGCTCCCAAAACAGATGCCTATCCTCTCTTCTTGGCTCCTCATACACAAAGGTGGCATGCCAAGTCACCCCCTCATCAATCTTCACATGAACATCAATGAAACGCTTATTTGCAGCCTTCACAGTAACCTCAGCCGGGGTCTTCCAAAACAAAGCAAGGCCACCGCTGAGTCCCACAACACTAACAGCATAGCAACTAGAAAATCCTAGAGACCACATAAAGTTCTTCACACAGGTGTCCCTCATCTTCATTTCAAACAAAAAGAGGAGGGAGGGTCGGTGTAGCTTCTCAACCCAGCGAAGCTCGCCAACTGTCGAGTCCGACCCCAAGCCTCGACAGTTCCAGCATAAGATACTCATTGCGTCTGGAGGGGCTGCACCACAGCCACCGCCGGATCCGCCGATCGGTTGTTTGAAACATGCTGCTTCTTGTTGGAATCCACATCAGAGTTCTGAACATCATCTGTAGTACCCACAGGCTCTCCTGGCACAACAACAATGGCTAAGATGTTATCATCCTCCTGGTCTTGGAGCGGAGAGGAGGCAGGAGCTTTGGTAGGCTTTCTTTTCTGTCCCGTTGTGTTGGGCTTGCTTTTCGGAGCTGACGGAAAAAGCTCACGCCCGGGATCACTGGTGCGACCTCTTCCTCTGCCGTGGCTGGACCTCCCCCGACCACGAGTAGAGCCGCCGCGTCTGTTGGGAGAGGAAACCTCGGCTTCAGAGGCACCATGGCCGCCTTGAGCAGCAGCTCTACCATGACCAGAGTCACCCGACCGAACAGTCCCGGACGAGCTAGCACCCGCAGCCAAAAAAGAGGCCGAGCTGGACCTAGAGCCTCCAAATCTCTTCAACTGATCGTCAGCAACACAAAGCTTTTTCGCCGCGTATGGTAGGTCACCATTCTCTTCCCTAGTCGCTGGATTTGGGCACAGAACCGAGGAGTGACCAAGGAGGCCACAAGAGTAGCAATAAAAAGGCAGTCTCTCATACATAACTGAGAACGTCTCCGTCCTTTTCAGCTTGAGAAAGGTCACCGTAACATAATGCACCACCGGTTCCTGGACAACAATTTCAACTCTCACTCTCATGAAACTACCCCAGCAGTGACCATCCGCATCCGAATCCACCTTGTGAATCCTCCCAATCGGCTTGGCAAATTCCATTCCCAATTTTGCCTTCATAAGCCTCGGAGGAACATGCATAATACGAGCCCAAAGCGCCAAGTGATCAAACTGAACTTGAGACGGCAAAGTATTCAGATCAAAAACTTTTAGCAACACTGCATGCTTCCCCACCATCCATGGCGAGCCCTCGATCACCCTGGCACGATCGGCCTGGGAACCAAATTCAGCTACAAAGACATTGTCCCCCGAGGGGTGGAATACCAAACCTCTAGGGTTTCCCCATGCCGTCCGCATTGCCAACGAGATCGTCTGGATATGAAGAAGATTGGGGGACAACACCTTCCCCACCAGGGCACAATCCGGGGCCACTAGATCGACCTCATCTTCATCTTCCAGAATCACTGGTTGCGCCTCAATCGCAGTCATACAAAGTTTTTCCATCAGGTCCTCGACCCGATCGGCAGAGACCGAGCGGCTCCCGAAGAAGACAACCCATCCGCTTCTGCTGTATTCCCCTTTGCCGGAGGGCGCCGTCGTGGAGAAGTCCCCGCTGCCGCCAAGCAAAGGAGGAGCGCCCATTCTGGCATCAGACCCCATCCCATCGTGCGCCCCCGCCATCGAGAGGTCGGCAAGTCCCTAGCCCAACGCTGCCAAGGGTGGGTAGCGGTCCAAAGAGCGCCCCTGAATCAACTGGCGGAGCCTGGAGGCCAAACGGGGCCACGACCCCACCTTCCAAAACTGGAAATCAAAATTTAGTACTAGTAATCATTCAGGTCTAGCCCAGTGTAGGAAACGTCCCAGCCAAAAGCACCGATCAGCCTCCCATCGTCCAATGTTACGCTCGTCCCTCCTCCTTACCGTTGAATATAATCTACCAAAACTTCTTCTTCCGACTCGCCTCCATGGACCATACAGATTTAGTTCTAGGTCTTTGACAGCCAACCATTGCCACTAGCCGGCCTACTGTGCCGGCTGCCAATTGCCGCGGGCCTCCTGCCCAGCACGCCGGCTGCTTGCTGCTGCCGCGGTCCTCCAATCTGCACACTACAGCTCTTCTTTTCATACATGTTTTTCCTTTAATTTGAAATTGACCCCCTCTTAGTTCCTTGTCACGCTCCGCCACTGCCTGAATCACCCCGAACAACAGCAAGGAGAGGAATCGCCAACGTCTAGATGCAGCAGAGAGATAGGCGGATGGGAGGGGAGGAAACGGATCTGGGATCCGAAGATCACAGGCCCAAACAGCGATCTAACCCTAGGAACCGCCTATCGCCCGTGGGTCGCAGGAGCCCTAGGAGAGAGAACATCCTGGTGGGTTCTGTACGGGGCATCGAGTCAAGTCTGGATGGCTAGGTTAGGTGGTTGTCAAGAAAAAGGGAGACACCTAATTAAGTCGGCAAATTATTGAGGACAACGTGCCCATTCATCCCGATCCGGCTGACCGGCCTCTACGGATACCATTTGTGTTGTTTGGCAGTTCACCATTTGATGAGTGTTGTAAAGGATCTGTTGGTGCCATGCACATTCAAACCGTCCACCAAACACGACCTGACTGGTAGCAGTATATAAGTTCACGAAACTCGAAACTCGAAACAGCCATTCGTCACGCTTTCACTGTATCAGTCGTAGAAGCACCGAATAGCAACAGGGGAAGAAGAAAATTGCCTTAAGCTCATTGTGTCTCCTCGATCGTGTGAGTTTCTCCTCTTTGCGTTTGCTCCGAGCCACTGCCAATGTCTTCCCTTGCGTGCGGGGTGTTCTCTTGCGTGCGGAGATCCGGCCTCTAGCTGACAATTGCTGCTGCTCCGAGCCACTGCCAATGTCTTCTTGACCTGTTGGCTGCTACTCCTGTATTAAGTGCACTTGTATTGTAATCTTGCTATTTCAGGATTTAGTACTGGACGACGGGGAAGAAGAGGGAAAAACATTGAGAGATTTTGCCAGTGGCCGGCTAATTGGTACTACTCTGTATACTCAAAATTTGCAAGTTTGTCTTAATTCAATTTTTGTAAACTTTGACTAAGTTTGTAGTGGAATTTATTGACATTTACATACCAAATCGATAGCATTATAGTATTCATTAGTGTATATATTTGTCACACCATATATATTTGTTATTGTAAATTTGACTTGGGACAACACTAATATGCAGAGTAAATAGAAGCAGGGGAATACATTTTTCTCTCTAAATCCTTTGACACTTAGTGGTTAACTCTTAATTTAAACCTAGTAATTGTAGGACGTGCAGCACACAGATAGACGTCATAGAAAGCTTGTAATTACTTAGTACGTACTCCCCCGTTTCATAAAGAAGTATGAAGACGTGCATGAGTCTCATGAGCGTCGATCAGTCCTTTGATACGGTGGCATCAGGAATTGCTGTGTGCGCAGCACCCTTTGAGAAAGACAAATCAGCAGGGTCCCTTCTAAATTATTTGAAGTTTTAGTTTATTTGTCCTTAGCAAAAAGAGTTATCTATTCTGTTTTTTTTTCAGCAGGGTCTGAAAGAATTGGCTTCCATATAATCTCAGAAATCTCAGGGTTTTCCGCCCAAAAGCATTCAAACAATTTTTAATTCAAGTATTGTTGAATTTGAGCTAATTTTGTCAAAACCAGCAAATCCCACGGCATTCTACTCTACCATTGGGCCAGAGGAGCCGGTGACCGGTTGGCTGACCGGAATTGAAAACCTTTATCACAAGTCAAAGTTTATAGTTTAGGAAGTCTATAGAAAAACATGCTAATATCCACAATATCAAATATATATATTATATATTCTATGATTAACCTACTGAAACTAATTTGATGTATTTCCCTGTAGATTTGACCAGGTAATTTGGAAAAGTGAGCATCGCTAATTTGTCAATCTGGGGCATGACAATACATCTGGTAGTCGATTAAGTTTCCACATTTTCTACAGTGCAATGAAATGTTGCCCCCTTTTCAACACAATGACTTGGTGCATCAAGTTTCTGCTCTAAGTGTCTATGGTACACAAAAATGATTGACAACAACATAGTTGTACCATTGGTGCTCGTCGGTAATATATAGATGTAAATCCTAGCCAACAATGCTGACCAAACAGAAATAGTACATGGTCCCATTTGGCAATTATGAACATGTACCCTCCTACCATTGGCAGATCTGACCTAATGCATCGCTAGTAATAAATATATGGAACCATACTTCAAGATGGCACCTCATATTACCAATTTGTGTGATGTGTGTGGTGCCATAACGGTGGCTTTGTTTCTGTAGAAAAGAGAGTTCTTTGGAGATGGGGTTTTGCGTAAGTGGCACCAGAGCAACTATCATGGGAATAGGCACAGCCGTGCCAACAAATGTACTGCAACAAAGTTCCTTCTCTGACTACTATTTTGAGACAACAAATAGCAATCACATGGTGGACCTAAAGGCCAAGTTCGCAAATATATGTAAGTTTTATATGCATATATGCTGGCCATGTACCACATTATTTCATAAATAGATGGTATTTTGAATGCTCATATGTTAGGTAGCATGCATACACATTTGAGACAGTTAGTTTTTAGTTTTTACAAGTATTTAGGGACATTACAACCGAGCACTATTCCAGCTTTCTCAGGCCACCAACCTTTTCGGTCATCGGATCTGGAGTGTTAGTTGTCATCAGCCGTTGGATCTATCTGCAATCTCGTATGGGCTGAGGTGGCTGAAGAGAGAGAGCCTAACGGACTGGGGCGATGCTCCCGTAACAAAATTGGCAGGCTACTGTTAATTGGGCCAACTGGGCCATCGTTTTGGAAGGGAAAAACAAAACCATCCTCTCCGCACTAGAAACCTCGCGGGTCGAGCGACGCACTCCAGCGCGTGATGTTGACCTCGGCGGGCGGGTCGATTAGATGTGCGATGCCCCGTTCGCTCGGGTGCGGTGCGAGAGCGATAGGGTCTCCTTGCGGGCGACGCCAACGAACGGCCAGGGGGAAAGCCAATCGTCACTTATAGTCGATTCGACTCCACTCGACGGCGATTGAGGAATAATTCATTGTTGCTACAAGTAATGGCAACCGATGTGCGTGACTCACCGGTGGGCACTAATGCAGGTCAGTTACGCTCCTTGCCCTGCACATATAATCCCTACAATCCCGTTGTTCCTTCCCATCCCACTCCATACTTTCGCAAATACAATCTCCGGCAGCCATGGAGTTATACCTGTAGGTACAGTAACAATTTCAAAATTATAATTGCAAGTTTTCTGGGGCGTCATGCATTACAAACATGCTATTCAAGCAGTAATGTTTCATCAGTATACTATTCAAGGGTAAAGCAGTGTTTTCTAGGAATTGAAGATTATGTCTCTATCAAATTTTGCAGGTGAGAAGACAATGATTGAGAAGAGACATTTGTACATGTCTGATGAGTTCATTAGGAGCAGCCCTTCTATTACGGCCTACAATTCCCCATCGCTCAACCTTCGTCAAGGGCTAGCGGATGCCGCTATACCACAACTCGGTGCGGAAGCTGCACGGCATGCCATCGCGGACTGGGGCCGGCAGGCATCGAACATCACACACCTCGTCTTCTGCACGACGGTGAGTGGGTGCATGCCCGGTGCCGACTTTGAGCTCATCAAGCTCCTCGACCTCCCTCTCTCCACTAGACGTTTCATGCTATACCAGGCTGGCTGCCATGGTGCCGGCATCTCCATGCGTCTAGCCAAGGACCTTGCTGAAAATAACCATGGCTCCCGTGTACTTGTGGTTTGCTCTGAGGTGATCACCATGGCTTTTCGTGGCCCCTCGAAAAGCCACATGGGGAACCTTGTTGGGCAGGCCATCTTTGATGACGCCGCAGGTGCCATTATCATTGGAGCTGAACCTACTGGGAACGAGAGACCCTTATTCGAGATGGTGTCTGCATCACAAGACATCATACCGGGCACGGAAGAGATGGTGGTGTCCAAGCTATACGAGGATGGGATTGTGTACACCCTTCACCGAGATGTCGCGCTCCATATCTCGAGAAACATAGAGGGGCTTGTGAAGAAGGCACTCGAGCGTGCCTCGCTCCTCACCAAGGACTGGAACGAGGAGCTGTTTTGGGTGGTGCACCCTGGTGGCAGGGAGATACTGGACAAGGTGGAGAGCAGCCTTGTTCTGAGAAAAGAGAAGATGGATGTCTCAAGAAAGGTGATGGCGCAGCATGGCAACACACTGAGCTCGTGTGTCATTGTTGTTATGGATGAGATGCGAAAGAGGTCTCGGAAGCGTGGGCTACCCACGGCAGGGGAAGGTCTTGAGTGGGGACTGCTCTTTAGCTTTGGCCCAGGCCTCACCGTCGAGACCACACTTCTCCGAGCACTGCACAATCAAGAACCCAACGCGTGACTGGCCCAAAAAAGAACCCCAACATTGTGATTGTTGCTTAAATCACGGTATCCATTTTTTTTCATACGACGGTGTGGTTTGTAATGTAAATCTTGTGTGCTTCAACATGTTCCCAATCTATATATTATAAGATATTTTAAGTTAACTATCTTATATATCCATCTATATTCTAAAACTGACTCCTAATACAATATCTACATTAAGGTATATCATCCTAAAATAGTCGTCGTTGGATTATATCAAGGATCAATCAATCCCATTAGATCTTCGTAGTTGAGGCCTATGAAAGTCATGTCATTTGGTTAAATGCACATCCTTTGATGAAATGATGTCTTCTCATGGAAAAGGCACACCCCTAGGTGAAAACCCCTCACTTCAATTATAGACACACACGGACATACATATTAGAAAAGAATGAAAAAAGCAAAATAATTGTTAGATTTACATGTTGCAATATTCACTTTGCAACTTTTAATAGATGCCGCAATTCAAATTGTCTTAACTATGTATGTAGTAAACTAATGTACCAAAATATACTATTTCTATTTGTTTATGCACTTCAATAACATTTGAACTTTACAAGTTTATGTTTTGCAAAAGTAAAAATTCTCTCTATATACCATATATCTAAAAATAAACTCACTAAAACATGTAATAATATCCGAAGAAAAACATGGACTCTACACTATTATTTGGCCCCACACTAATCCTAAAGGTTAAGGAAATATGATCAACGAATCAACCTATGCTTCATTCACAACCGTGAGATGAGTTCCATCCGGCTCTACCACCACCATCAGACGTAACTTCTTTGGCCTCCTTTCGTAAGAACAAAAGCAGTAAAAACCTAAATAATCACCATCTCGCCCAATCTCGTAGTGTCGAGCAATCCGACAGCCGCATGCCTGCATGACAGCTACTAACCCCAGCATCGTCACCTCGTGCTTCTCACTACCGAAGATGGCGGGAACGACAGAGTCGTGCTTCAGTCAGCACTCATGTGTGTGCGGCGCCGCGTCTTCATGGATGGTTGCGGGCTTGCAGTGTGTGCCGCGACGAGAGGTACGCATGGTGGAGGAGCTCCATCATGAGGGCAGATTGCTCACTAGAGCTAGCAAGCGCGTTCTTCAACAGGGAAGCCGACGGGTCTAGCTTGGGCTTCTTGGAGTCACGGGAATGATGAGGGTGCATGACATAGGGAACTAGGAGGAGAAGGGCACCTACCAGAGGTTTGGAGGTGGAAGACATAGCTCACCACGGTTAGGTCCAGCTCTCAAAATAGGCTGTCACTGCTTTATAAATAAAGCCACACGATCGAGTGATAAAAGAAGTTGAGAAAATCTCGATAGAAGTTGATCAAAAAAAAATGACAAAATAAGCTCACGCCGCTAACAAGTCCCAACAGTATACTACTAAACATCACCAACAAGAAACCGAGCAAATTCACAGAAGAGGACCCTTCGCCGGTTGCGACTCATGGTGTCCATGAGAGAATGCATGTATGGTATGAGCATAGGTTGAATACTTTGTTATGCAATCGTGGGTCTGCTAACATCAACATTCTGACCATTCCGTGTCATCAGGCCCAACCAGAGAGCAACACCAACTTATGAGAGGCCTTGCCCCCTCCCCCTCAAAAAATACTAGCATGTTAGGAGGGGACAACCCCGCCCTTATAAGTCGTGTTATGTCTCCCCCCACAACTGATGTGGGACTAAACCCAACAATCTCCCCTGAGCGTTTCGGGAGAGGAACTCTGGTGACGCCCAGGGCAACTCGCCCGTGACGGGAATGGCGGCAGCGCGGCCCTGGCGCCCGTCGGGGAAGGCCGCGAGGAGCGGTGGAGGCTGGATGGCCACTTTGGCGATGAGTGGAGCATCTTCAAGAGGCAGGAAGGGAGATCCTTTGGAGAGCGCGAGATCCAGAAGGCTGCGTTCGGCGCCTTCGGGAGAGGATGCAAGGCTTCTTCAATTTAGATCGAGGGGATTCTCAACTAAAGGAAGGGAAAGCTACATCGACGATTGTGGTGGTCGTTGAGGATTTGATGGTGCTGGATTCTACGCCCGTGGCTGATCTGGTGAGTAATTGAGGAGAGAAGGAGACAGTTTCTAGTGCGTTCAACTTCCTCATGAATGGGGAATTTGGTGATAGTCTTGTGCAAAATTAAATCCAAGAGTTATCCGTTTTGATTTTGTGACGAAATTTGAGGAGGGTGAGGCCTATTTCAAGGGTGCAGAGCATGATTTTGGGTCTCAAACTTCAGCCACTGCTTCCAGTTGCTCTGTCGTTCGTTCTTTTTAGGGAAACATGTCAAGCCAGGACTACCCCACGACTCAGGCTGGGATGAATCAAGATGATGAGGCTGCTGCGTTCGGGGGTAGCAGTGGTCGGGACGGGCTGCAGATGGTGGCGCCTCCCTCACAGGGCGTGGTGAGCAACGAGCTGATGGCTTCCACTGACTCGTCTTTGCTGACGAAACAAAAGGGCGCCGTGGGAGGGACGAGCGGCCTGATTCTGGATTCGCCAAAGGCCTCCAGTGGATTCGCTGCCACGACTACATCGCCCCCTACCCTTTGTAGGAACAGCAAGACCAAGCTGCGCTCTTCGACAATGTTCAAAGACAAGCCGATCGTCATCGACATGGAGGCGGCTTTGCGGGCGGTGGCGGACAAGCTGGTGGTGGGTCAGGTACTCTCACCATACCTGGCTGACCCCCGGGCCGTCGTCAACGAGGTGAAAGGGGCATGGAGGCTCCGCGGCGAGGCGGTGGCCTAGCGAGTCAAAAGTGAAGATGGGTGCTTCATCGTCACCTTTTCGGAGGAGGGTGACCGGCGTCATGTGCTGCAAGCTGGACCATGGCCTACAGGAATGATGCAGTCCTACTCGCGACGTTTGATGGAAGCGGTGACCCTATGGATGTTCCCCTTGATTCTTTCAGAATTTGGGTGCAAATCCATCAGTTGCCGGTTCCTATCAAGACCGTGGAAATGGGATGGACCCTTGGCGAGAAGCTCGGCACCGTCATTATGGTGTCACACAAGAACAAGAAGATCGTCGACGAGTACATTCACATCCGCATCAAGCATCAGGTGGACGAGCCAGTGAGGAAATTCATCGACACAACCGACGTTGGGGCACTAACAAGATATACTTTCCTGTTAAGTATGAAAAGTTGCCTAATTTTTGTTTGTGTTGTGGTGTTGTGGGGCACACTACAGCCAAGTTCTGTGGTGCCCCTACTGAGCTTCGAAAGAAGAACTTCTCCATCGACCTCAAGGCTTCTGCGCTTTCGAAGAACCTACACACTTCGGGGGCTTCGAACGGGCGTCTCCTCGAGTATGGAGGCCTATCGGTGGCCCCTAGAGATGTGGAGGTGGCGGGCAGGTCCAAGCTACCGGAGAAGGTGATCAAGGCGGTGACCACGGCTGTCTAGAAGCTCACGGTGGAGGCGATGCCTTTCTTTCCCATTTCTGCTGGTGCGCAGAATTGTGGGGAGGAGACGATGGGGGCTGAAGGTTCCTAGGATGAGGACCCCTCTCAATGATGCTGAGATGGTCATCGCGTCTGGTCGGGTGGACGGCCGTATCAGGATGTTGTAGGTGTCAAAGGGGGTGCTCCCTCCATCATCTTGAGTGCTCCTGTGACCCCTGCTGTTGTTGATGCTGCTTTTGGGGAGTGACCCAAAGGAGCTGTGGATGGTGCCCCCTCAGCCCGCCAGGGTAACATGGTGGACGTACAGGGCACTATGGGCTCCATCAACATGTACGCCCATGCTGAAGGGGAGGTTGCTGACACAGGCAAGGGAACTGATTCTATTCGAGGCCGATGGAAGAGACTTTGTAGAGAGGAGCAGGTGGAGCGGGTTGTTGTCCAAGGCGTGTGTGCCAAGCATGTGAAGTTTGGGGTCCCAACGCCGCCAAATAGCGGCAATGACATGTCCAGCCACAAGGGTGCCTTTACAGCCATCCTGGAGAGCATAGCAGGTAGTAAGAGGTGTCATCTCGATGATCAAAATTTAGTGCTTAGCATGGATAGCACTGGTTCAGAGAGTTTAGAGTATAAGAGTGCAAATGATTTAAGTGTTTCTTGTAAAAGAGTCTGTACTGAGAGGGTTGAGGCTGTAGTAGGGCTACATGGATCAATTGTTCATGTAACACAGGAGAGAGAGGGGAGAGAGGAGGATGCTCATGATAGAAGGTGGGAATCAGTGGGAGAGGAGAAAGAGGATGGGGAGGAAAAAAGGAAGCTACCGGCCTTGGGGCTACCGGTGACCTGATGGGCGTGGATGACGCCCGTCAGGAGCCATGAAAATATTGAGGTGGAACTATCAAGGCTTGGGTCAACCTCGTACAGTTCAAGAGTTGGTGTGCCTCTCAAAGATTCGCATACCCAATATTATCTTTTTATCTGAAACAAGAAAGAATAAAGAGTATGTTGAGAGCTTGCACTAATGTTTTTACTGTTTCTGGCCATGGTGAAGGTGGAGGACTAGCTGTGTTTTTGGATGAGGTGTACTCTTGTGAGATGAACAAATATGATGACCATTTTATTGATTTGTACGTCGACAAGGGAAAGGGAATAAAGTGGAGGTGCACCTTCATTTACGGTGAGCCTAAGGCGAGCCAAAGGTATATATGCTATGTGGGATCTCTTGAGACGGATTAGACCTCTTGGTGTTGGAGCTTGGTTTATGGTGGGGGATTTTAACGAAGCTATGTGGCAAGATGAGCACTTCTCTCATCATAAAAGGTATACTAGACTAATGGCTAATTTTCGTGAAGCTCTGTCTGATTGCAATTTATATGACTTGGGCTACCATGGCATGGCTTGGATGTATAATAACAAGCAAGATGGAAACAAGAATGTTAAGGTGCGTCTTGATTGTGCGGTGGCGTGCCCGCTTTGGTCTTGAATGTTCCCTCGATGTAAGGTATCCCATATTATAAGCTCCGGGTCTAATCATTATCCCATTTTTGTTGAGGTTTTGGGTACTCCCCGGG